TAGTAAACCCCACTAAGACCTTTAAATCGCCCCCATGGTTCCGCGAGGGGGACTGAAACCAATAAGGTGGAGGAAGAATTACTTGAAATTGTTTTTAGAAACTGGATTGGAAGAATTTAAAGCTTATTTCCTTGAAGTCCGCTGTGCATGCAAAACTTATGAATCTACGTTCGTTAGTTTAGCACGAGAAATGGATCGTAAGCTATCGTCGAAAATATCATACTGGCCTGGCCTTATTAATCTGTAGAGGACGAAGAAAAAGGCAGTATTCCTCCTCTGGTGAAAAACACAGGTTCAGATGGTTTGGTGGAATCCAACCCGTTCTAAGCTCAGTGCTCATCAGGATACTTTGGTTAGGCCTTCTCGGCATGTCGGAATAGTGATGTGCTTACCAGTAGTATCAGTAGTGTAAGGTTACGAAACTTCAAAAGAAACATTTCTTAGTTGCTTCATGATCTCCAGCATGGAAAATCCACCGGTCATCATGGCTTTCCTCTTGGACTTTTGTCTTCTCCGGTAGACACTGTTACTGGACCAAGTGCTGTTCTTTTCAAAATGCCCTTACCCCAGACCCGTCAACCTAAAGACCAAAAGGATGTCATAAGCAGCCCGGTTTTTAGGGCCAGTAGTCCTTGGTCATTATTCACCCCTCTTTCCCTCTTTCTGGGGGTTTAGCCCTCTGTTTTGCCCAACAAGTGATCAACGACTCCTTATGAACTGACCTGCTTTGCCTTATCTCAATTCTTCCACCTCCGCCTAAACGTCAGATATTTCACTTTTGAAACTAATAGTTTTGCAACAAATTGTCTGTGGAATGAGCAGTTCTGAACTGGTCACCTCCATCACTCTCCAAACGGACAGCGGTGTCTTGAGCTTATCTGTCTCGATCAACTGTAATGGCTCATGTTGCTTAATCCGAAGCACCGTACACCCTGCTCAATCACACGTCCCGGACTTACATGAAATTTTTGACATTCTTCAGAGTGGTGCAACTAGACAACTGAAGGTAAGGTTGAAAACTCATTTTTACTATCATAGGTTTTCTACCTTTTACTCAACCTAGGCATTCTATCTTGTTTTTTCTCGTATCCGCCTATTAAAATGAGTGGTGACAGTGACTTATATCAATCTGATTCTAGAAACACCCTAAGAGAAGCTGCACTGCCCGCTTCCTTGGCAGCAACTAGGGGTGGATCTAGGAGGTGTAAAACCGGCTCATAGGACCACGGCCGGACCTTAGTATAATGGCCATGAATACCAATGCCCCCAAAACCGAATCCCTGACCTTACAGCATAAAAGGTCCCTGTCCATGTAATTCTGCTGGATTTCGACACGGTTGTACGCACCGTTTTATTATGCGAAATAGTGAGGTTAGGTACCAGCGATCAGGTGTTCTCCTGACTGGAGGACTATTTAGGCAGCGAATAATTCCGAACAAAAGTTGACGGGGTTAGCTCAACTTGGAGAACATCATCATCCGGTGTATCATGAGGAGCGACACCGGCCCTCTGCTGCTGCATGTTTTGCGAACGACCGCTCGATTCTATGTTATGCCGACGATGTTGAGTAATGGAAAGCTGTGACCTCCGAAACAAAACCAAGTGAACCACAAAGTGACCTCCGATTGCTTGCAGGGTGGGTGAGTAGCAACGGACTAACACCTAACCCGAACAAATGCCAACCTGTGTTTTTCCGCACTTCGGACTCGAGAAAGATATTCCACTGCTTCTGTGGTATGCGTATTTCATGCATGACCTCGGGAGAGGGAGCTGGGCCTAGTAACAACTGACAACACAAACGCCAGTTCCAACCATCTAGCGGACGTCTCAAGAGCTAACACAGCAATGGACTCCATTCTGAGACATCTGGGTGCACTCATCCCGGAACTCTGTCTGGGACTCCACAAGACCAGTATGCGGACTCACATTGAAGTCCAAAACGCCGGTGTACCACCATGTCTGAAAAGACATGCAAAGGCAGTCAAACAGTGGAATTCTATCAAACGATCAGTGGCGATCATCACGGTAATTAAAAGAGAATTACCCACCGAAGGATGAAAATCTGCGCTCGTTAACAGTTCCCACCCCGCGAGTTTGCGACCACTAGGACGTATCGCTACCAAGACGGCTACTGTTCCGTCTGTTGACAGATTCAAGAGGCTGGATAGCTACGCAGCAGCATACGGCATGCACCAATCCGGCCGCGATACTTACTAGGCCATTGTAACCAAATAATTTCATACATTGTAGCCATGCCAGCTCCGAGTTGAATATTCTGTACTGCCATCATTATTATGAAACTGACCTAATCTAGCACTTCACTTTCATACGTCTCACCTCCTACTGCCATAACTCCACTACTCAGATCACTGCTCCTATCCCCAATATCCATCCTTTACGCTTACCTTTTCCTTCTCCCTCTGACTGCATGATCTCACCCTATTTATCAGGGTCTTACCCATCACAGTTTATTTCCGTCTTCCCCGAATTGGCCTAAGATAACCATTTTCTTCGTTCTGCTTCTTCTCACCTCCCCTCCCTCTTTTTTCTGGGCACGTCATCTTTCATTGATTCTGAACAACCCTGGTGACACTACATTTGGAAAATCTATCTGCACCACGGTCCTTGGACAAATCACACAACCCCTTGGAATTCAGGCAACATCCAGCCGGCCGTGGGTTATACCAGTGCAACAACGAGGAAGTTTATAGACCCAAAGCAATGGAATCCATGAAAGACCTGAAACCACTCCGCAAGACCAAGGAGTGAGCGTGAGGAAATCAACTGGTTCACACGAGCTTGTGAAAAGATACTGAATGGCTGGAGCTCCTTATCTGTGGTTACAGTATCGTTTCTTTCGATGAATATGTTTGAGGAGAAATTATATCTTCACATAAGTGTTTAATTTAAGGAGTAAATTAAGAAAAACGGTCTACTACCCTTATTGCTGAATACTGAAGAGCCTATAAACATCTTTAGTGTCTTTTATTATATACACATATATATATATATATATGTATATATATATATGTACATATATATAATTTCTGTCCCCCACCTTCAAAGGAGGAGACTGGCAGAACCCAAAATGCTACCACCTCATAGCCCTTCTACCAGTGGTGTCAAAAGTATTGGAGAGCCTGGTAGGCGAGTACGTAGAAACGAGGGGAGCACTTGGTAACGCCCAATATGGTTTCAGAAAGAGTAGGTCCTGCGCCTCAAACATTCTGGCGGCAGGTGATAAGTGGACGGCATGCTGGGACCTCCAAATTCCTGTTCATGTTATTTTCCTGGATTTTGCTAGGGCCTTTGACACAGTTCCACACACCATTCTTATTCACAAAATAGAAAGGTTGGACATCAAGGGACAGGTGCTTTCATGGCTGCGGGACTGTCCAGACGGTAGACAATTCTGCACAAAAGCCAACAGAGTTTTCTCGACTTGGATGACATCATCTGGTGTGTCCCAGGGAGCGATTCTGGACCCACTGATATTCTTTCTTATTGTGAACGACCTCCTACTGAATCTCAGATCCCTAATTCTATTCCACGCTGATGATGTTAAGCTATGGAGAGCCATGACGTCGGAAACGGAATCAAGTGCACTCCAAAACGACCTCAGATTACTTGCAGAGTGGGGGGTATTAATGGACTTGCATTTAACCTAGACAAGTGCCGAGTCATGTTTCTCCGTACCTCAAACTCTCAGAAGGTGCCCTATTTTCTCTGCGGAACACAACTCTGCCACAACACCACGGATAAAGACCTAGGACTAATACTAGCTGACAAACTAGACACTAGCTCCAACTATCCAGATGCCTCCACAGCCTACACAGTACTGCACTTCATGCGCAGATGACTGGGTGCCCTGACCCCGGAACTCTTTTTGAAGCTGTATAAGACCTATATACGACCCTGTCTAGAGGTCCACGACGTCACTGCACCACCATATCTGAAAAGAGACGTGAACCTCCCGGAGAAAGTCCAAAGGCGAGCTGCAAAGGGTGTCATGAGAATGAGGCGAAAACCATATCAAGACAAACTGAGAGATCTAAGACTCTACTCCCTTAGCTACCGTAGCTTACGTGGTGACTTCATGATGGCTTACGAAATACTAAGTAACCCAAGTCATCCGAACAGCAAAATACTACCGAACGGCCACTATGGCGATCCTCGTGGTGACCAAAGGACAGTCGCCCACCAAAGAGCAAAGACGCGTGTGCGATCACATTTCTCTCAGAGAGTTTGCGGCCACAGGAACGCATTGCCCGCCAAGACTGCTACTGCTCCGTCTGTTCAAGAACGGGTTGGACAGTTACGCAGCTACGCACCGTTTGCCCTCATCCAACCGGAGTGTGAACCAGGCTGACACGACCTGCTAACTCGGTACGGCCAACCGTTACTGAATACTTTGTAACCACACTATCACTGGGAACTTGACTCAACCTTACACCTCCAAAGAGATGTCCTCTCCAGTTACCATCTCCTACTAAAAGAATTACTATATTCCCATTCGTCCCGTAATGCTATTTATTCTTCCTTCTGATTTTACGTTCCCCTGTTACCCCCCTACCAATAAATCTACCAGTGTCTCTTCTTCCGTGCCATTTCCTTTTTCCCTAATCGTCTTTTTTCTTTCTTTTTCTATTTGTTTTTCTCTCCACTTTCTCTTCCTTAGTTTATACGCACATATTTTCAATCTTTTTACAACCAGTCCAACCAATGGTCTGCTGGCACGACACTTGAGGAACCCAATTGCACCTCAGTCCTTGGAAGAAAAAACGAAAACAAACAAACAACACCCTACAAATTTAACCAACACCCAACCACGCGTCGGGCTAACCACAGCTACAGTGATCGAGTGGGTAGACCTACTGTATCGAAATCCATCAATGACCTGGGACCGTTCCGCAAGACCTATAAGCGAGCGTGAAGAAATCAACTGGTTTACACTAGCTCGTAAAAAAAGATATTGGATTGGCATGTTGTTTATTGAACTGGCACACAAATCTAATGTTGAGCTACTGATGGATGAGTGCATTAATGCTGCTATTACACCAGTGCACTTTCAACGTGATGCCGAAGAAGCATCTGCAACGATACCATCATTACAAAATAAAAGTGGATATTATACTATGGCTGGAATTCTAGATTTCCTGCAGCTTGAATGGTCAAGAATGCAACTAGAGCGCACACAGTGGGATGTTGAAAGGGCAGAATTACAGGTAAAGTTAAGTTCATTGTGACATGTCTGTTCAGGCGAAGATAGCATTTTTACAGGGCAAGTTTAAAGGACTTGAAAATTTGCGGAATGATCTTATTCGTCGAATCAAGATGTTAGAATATGCTCTAATTCGAGAAAGAAATAGCAAAACTCAAAATGAACATTCCAAAGAAAAAGAAGAGGCTATGATCAGTCTGCATTTCACCAGATCTGAGTCTGTTTCAGATCACTCAAGAACAAATATGTCCAGTGGAAATGGTCAACTAAGCAAGTAAATAAACATTTTATCCTTCATGTCCACAGGTATTTGACTGACCCAACTTTTCATAGCACTTCCCCGGGCTCTGATGATTCAATAACTTGTGGCTTGTCTGAAATCAATCTGTTAGCTAGTGATGACTTTGAATCGGAAGCGCAACAAATTACTGTTTCTCCTAAACATGGTACGTTTACTATTACAACTATCATTTTAACTTGGTTTCTTTTTGTATCGAGCAATACTGGGCAAGTTACAAAATTGTAATCTGAATTCGCAAAGGTTATTAAGGGCATTTGGTTGTCGTCTTGTGGTTTATAGTTCTTATTTTTATGTACAAAGCTCTTGAAACTGTGAAGTGTCGTTCCTTTTAAGCCTCAAAAAAGATGACCAGCATGTTATACAAACATGCATACCTTAAATCATGCCCCAGTATTGACAAACTACAGGAAATATCGGAAAATTTCTCATATTTGCCAGAACAATGATGATTGAAGTCAAGTTTGGTTACAAGGCTAGATTCTTCTATAGACTTGTGTTATGCATACTATCCATATTTCCCTCAGCGTGCTGTTTTTTAGAAACAGGAGTTAGATGAAAACCCTCGCAGTTAGAATTTTGCCTCCATAGATCGATTCGTCAAACAGGAATGTCTCAGAACACAAATCAGATGCTAGTGTTGTTCTATAATGATAACTTTAATGACAGTGAAACAGAAAGCTGTCAAGCTGCTGGTATACATTACTGCTTAATTTGGCCAAGTCCTTAAGACAGTAAAAACATTGTGACCTGAAAGTGCAATATTATAAATGGTTACACTATGCAAGACAGTGAAAAAAAGCAAAGGAATGTGGAAATTGGGAATATAACGGTGCTTGCGGTTGTGAGCACAACGACGAGTCAATGCATTTGAACTGTAGTTGTTCATTTAAGCAGTATTCCACTTACGAACAAACTTTTTTGGAAAGAGAAGCGGTAGTCCATAGACTAACCGCTAAGTATTAGGTAAGGAAAAATTTAGTCAAGTCCCGCATAACTTTATTGATACGCTACAACCGTAGGTCCCTTCAAATTTCATCTGTATTTGTCTGAGGTTCACTATGTCAAACAGTTCTGTTGCACGTTCATAAAAGGTAGAACAAAGCGGACTACAGCGCAGTACACTTAGACCTTAATTTAATAGACAGTTTGATTTCTTGCCGATGGCGGAAGTAGGGGGAAGCTAAGTGATTTTTCTGTATCCGCACAGAAATTTCTTCCATCACTGAACCACCAGGGCTGATGAATTCGGAAGTAAATGAATTAGTCGGCACTCTCAACCATTTGACTCTGAATTGTTAGACAAAGCACTAACGCGGACTAATCCTTAAGTAACAGTTCGAATTCATATGATGAAAACATTCCGAATATCTTCAAATTGCGATGCAGTGTCCAGAAGACATAACGTGAACGTCTTCACCTAACAGAACTATTTCATCTGCGTACTCTAGGCCTACTATAAAGTCTCTGTTAACAAGGTCAATCTCTGCAGTCAGACAAGGAAAGAGATACCTCCATCAGCACTTTAACAAAATTCAATAAGAATGGTCAAGGTTGACATCCTTAATGGACGCCACTCAACGTACATGACTCACCTAATACCTCACCATATACTTTAGCTCGCTGTTGGGTATTTAAATACAGAACTTTCAGCAAGGTTATGTAATTGTCTCGTACTTCTTTTAGTCAGACACTGTCACAAGACCTCTCGATCAAAGGAGTCGATTACCACCTTCAGATCGAAAAGTATAGCTATTGTTTGGCGTCGGTACGTCCGCCGATGTTCGAATACCTAGAAGATCAGTTCTGAAACCTGCCGAATTTCCTTGGGCTAGCTGTTCCTGAGCTTTCCGGCTGGGGTCCGCTAGACAAGAGGAACCAGTGGTTGGAAACTCTAAATGATATGACTCAGAATCGAAGTCAGTGGCGCAAATTTATTCACACACTATCCTCATTTTAACGCTATACAAAATCTCACCATTTTCTCATTCTTCCTTTCTCTCTTTTTGTACTTTGCATTTCTTTCGACTGAATTTTATTTTCTTCATCTTCCACTTGACTGCCTTTTTACTTGATGTACTGATATGAGGTACGCAACTCGGACCATTACGCAGCAATGCCTGGTCCTATGTTGTTGATGATGATCCTGAGCTTCACTTAGCCATCTAGAACCTGGGACAGAATACATAATTTCAGGTTGCCACACTTCACATTAGTGTGTGAAGAAAAATGAATGAGATCAAAGTTAATTGAAGTGTGTAGGAGGAAACCAAACATAGATGAAAGTTAGTGAAAATATTCAAGACTTCAAAGGTAACATCACCATCATAACTGATTTTAAACTATAAAATAGCTGATCTCCAACTACTGATTCCCATGGCCTCTAGAGCCCCAAACGGGTAGTTTACGTCTTCATGCACACCTCATGCTGACAGCCACAAACCTCGTGGTCTAGTACTGAGATTTAGCCTGACTGGCCCAAGCTTTTTCCCTAACCAATCTCCTTTTGTCTAACATTGCGCGTCGGCGTAGGCATTGGCTCAGGATTTGCAGAATATTTCCGGGCTACTTTAACTGCTGGGTGTTCATAACCTCATCGATTGATTTCCCTTGTTTAGTACTTACGTTTGTCTTTGACATTGTTGACACTGTGGTCCTACCACATGAAAGCAATGTTACAGAGAGACTTGTCAAAGATCTGTAACTTCTTTATATCGTCTGCTCTCAGTGACCATATCTCAACTGTATAGTGCGACAGAGCGGACCGCTGCACCATTTACTCATCTTTTGGTGTGTAGTCGGATATCTCATCGGAGTCATGTGCGGCGTAAGGTGATATGTGTCAAACAGGCGCATACTAAACACTTGTTTCCACTCAGACGACTACATTTTGTCAGCCTCTAAACGTAACATGGTTATGTCATCTGCGTACTCCAAGTCAACCAGTTGCTCTCCTTTAGAAGTCGGAGATGCCAAGGGTTGTATGCATTAACACTTCTATGACAAAGATAAGTTAAAATAACAGCAGCGGACATCCTTGATGGGAACTATTAGTTGTTGTTACTTCAAACAAAACTGTATGTAACCCCTCACATGTCTGGGTGAATTTGATTAGGGACTTGGTCGGCATTATTTATTCATTCGGCAATGACTTCACAGTTAGACACTGTCATGAGGCAGTCTGCAGAGTCGATTGTCACCTTCAGGCCAAAAAGTAAAGCAAGTGTTGGTCACCACTGAGTTCATGTATTCGAAAACGTGTCGAAAAGTGAAGGAAGATCTGATAAATACTATTTTTGTAAGGTGGTACCTGAAAGAGAAAATAGAGTAGGTTTGCATAGCCATAGAGCCTAGACAACGCCTGTCTGAAGTTTAGGCTGTCCCTTTGGGGTTTGGGATTATATTTGATTGTGTTACGTTCAGATAGTAAAAATCCATACTGATAGCACGGCAAAAGTCGCAGGGCAGGGAGATGTGTGCTATTTTAGGGCCGATTTATCCTAACTACTCTTGATAAGAAAGGCACTGATAACAACGAATTCTGTTCATCTCTGGGGTACACTTTTATCACACCCTGTGTTGCTAACATCACAACTTCACTCTCAAAGCTCCATTACAGTTTGAGTTATTAACACTATAGCGGTAAGTACTTTTAGCATCACTACTATTCAGTAAATCTTTCTGGCATGGTTGAACTTTAAAAATTGATCTAGCCAGCATAGTTCACTGAGTCATTGCAACATACAAGCCTGAGTACCTCATCAAACTAGCAGCTGTCGCTGAAATACAATAGGATTTTGTAGGCTTTTATGTCGGTTTACAAATGACGGGCCCCGGGTTCAAAACCTGTTCTGTCTACTTCAATGTGGCAACCGGATAGTATCATTAGTCAACCAACAATAAGTGTGACTCAGAGCCTAGTAAATGAATGTGTATGAGATTAAGTTGTATTGTTAGTATTATGAAGTAGGAAATTAAATGTCAAAGCGCTATAGCGTACATTATCCCATATAGTAGTAACTTTTTTGATCGCAAGTCCATGCACTAAACACGAACCACAGTTTATTAAACGACAATGACAAGTAATGTTTAACAGAGTAATTAAAAGTCAGAGGCATTAAATTCGAACATGAAATTTCTACTATCTAATTGATCGTTGTTTTGTGACGAATAAATTTTGGGTAGTAGTGATTGTAAAGAGTTAAATTTGTTATTGGACACACGTCTCGGTTGTTGTTGTTTTTTTCAGCAAGAATTTCATTTTTTCATGTCTTAAAATATGTATCAATAGATAGTCTTTATGAAAAACCTGTTGTACTCTTTTTTTAGTAATTACTTTTTCACCATTGTTTTAAAAAAAAACTATTACAGAGGATTCTGATTCAAAGAGTTTACAACATTCACTGGAAATTGTTTTGGAAAATTGTAGCCTAAAGCAGAGCAAACAATTACAGGATGAGTCACTTGACTATAATTTATCTAATAGTTCCAGTTTTGATTATTTATCATTTATGGTAAGTTGGTTTCAAAAAAATTGGTTTTGGAAATTACTACATTTACGATATTGTGAACACACAGACGTTTTGTTTATTCATTAAAGGTGCAGAACAAGCAATTAATTAATTTCAGATGAAAGTGTACACACTATCAACAGACTGTTAATAATTCATTACTTGAGCATCTTTGAAGAAAAATTTACGATCTAAGGATTTTTATTTCTTTGCTTTAGTATAAAAGAATTGTTAACATAACCCAATCAACTTTTGTGTTGTACTTTTCTACGTTATCTTGTTAACTATATGAGTAAATCAAGATGTACTACAGTTAGAATTAGGATAAGAAATCTATATAACCATCAACTGTCCGATTGTATTTCTAGATTACATACATGTGGCATCAGCATCACATCTAAGTATTTCTCTGAATTGAATTTTGTGTTCATTTTCTGGTTTTTGCATGTAAATTCTAACTTACGTTTACTTAAAAATTATTTTTTACCATTCGGTGTATCTACTGTCTTTGAGTACAGTTGAAGTTTTTTAATCACGTGATGTCTGCCAAGACTGCCCACTGTCACTGTTCCTATTTAACTTCGTCATAGACGTACCTTAGGTATATCTGACTGCACGGGAATTGATTAACTTTCTGGAAGTCATCTGGTTGACTTGGAGTATGCAGACAGTATTGTCCTGCTAGGTGAAGACGCTGACTCAATGCAGGATCTTCTGAATGCGTTGAGCAGAAACCTAAGCATCTTTGATACGCATTTCTCACCTATCAAATGTGAGATAATGCTTTAGGACTGTTCTGTTGCAAATACTCCCAGTTTAATGATATGAAGTGAAGTGGTGAAATGTGCCGACTACGTCTCTTGGGGGGTTGCATCAACCCGAACGGGCTGGTTGTTGACAAAATTTCAGCTCGGATACAGAAGGCCCGTTTGGTACTTTCTGCCTTACATCATCTGTGACGCCGACTGGAGAAATATCCAACTATCAATCAAAGGTGAAGTATACTACGATACAGTCCATTTTGTCTTGATACACCGCTGTGAGACATGACCGTTATAAGTTGAAGATAAGAAGCAGTTACAGGGATCTGATCACAGATCTCTTCGTTGCATTGCTCGCGTCTGGTGGAATCTTTGTGAGCAATGTTGAAGTCAGATAAAGAGCACTAGGCAAGACAGGTAAGTCGATCGATGTGGTTGCGAACCTTAGTCGACTGAAAATGGCTTGGACATGTACTGCGCATACCGAGTTACCACCTATCTCGACGTGCCATGCCGGGAGAAGATGTATTGGGTTGGAAGAGAGTTCAGGGTGGGCAGAACTAGATGTGGCACCAGTTGATAAAGTCTCTTACTGTTGGTGTGAGTGGTGTGAGGAGATATAGACTACCTGGTTGGGGTCCCTGAGACCATAGAAATCAGTGGTTGAGGACTCTTGGTGAAATGGCTGAAACTCGGTCACAGTAGCGCAAATGTGTTCACTTCTTGACGCCTTCTAAAACTTAAATATTCGCGCTAATTTTCATATTCAGATTGTTTATTCCGTCACATAACTTTGTCTACTTTAATATCAGTCTTTTCTACCTACCTGTTCTTTGTGTATTACTGTGAAGCGTGACAACTTGAGCCGATGCACTTGTGTGCGGGTTTCTATGTTGATTTGGTTTGTGTCTGTCTGGCTAGCACGCTTCGTATACTTCGGTTACTTGAGATGATGGTTGGGGCTATGCGAATTTATTCGTTCACACATACCTACAAAAGTAGTTAATACATCTGGTTTTTATTTTATTTGTATTACCTCTAACTTTTCGGTTTTATGACACTTTCAAAGTTGTCCGTAGTTGATTATAAATAGTGCTAATTCGATTTTAAAGTTGCGAATTCACTTGCATAACTAGGTTTTATACGTTTAGTAAATTGGTCAGTTTCGTTTTGATAATCATATCATCATCATCATTGAGGCCTTTTTGTAAGCCCGAAAATACCGAGCCCTGCAGAGTTATGTACACATATATAATCTTAACTAATGATACTCATCGCATAAATATTCAGTAGAGAGCAACTGTAGTTAGTAGTTGGCATCATATTATTCTCAGGAAATCACTAAGTTTAAATTGGTTTAAATGTTGAAGTATATAAACTATGTTATACATACAAACTTTTTTCTGAAAATATTCCATTAGAATGAATCTGATCTGACTTCAACAACAGAACCACAGAGTGTTATAGACCCAGAAACTGCTGAAGCTCTTTTAGAATTCGAACAACTTGTTGCACAAAGTACATATTTGGATAAAAATCCTGTAACAGGTTAGTTTTTAAGAAATATTTTTTTACTAAAGTTCGTTAACTTGAGGGAATTTTAAGTTATCAAATGATGTTATGCTAAAGGTTATTAAATAGCTCTGCATCATAAGAGTTCTTACAGTTCAGCGGCGCACCTCATTATCGCAGAGATAAGTAGAATGTTGTTTGTGAATTTTTGTGTTTACACGCCTAAATGCACAGTTGTATTCTTCTTCTTCTCCTTCTTTGAATGTAAATGCACTCAGAAACATTGTGTACCTTCATATAGTAGGCAATGAACCACACTTCTTGTGTGAGGGCTACTGATGCTACCTGGCTGCCTAAACCTGGGTAGATGGAATGGAACTCGGACCCGTGACTCACTGATTTAAAGTCATCTGCCTAAACCAATGAGCCACACCTCTATGGTTTTATTCTGAGGATACAGAAAACAGTTACCTAGTTACATCTACTACACAGTGACTTAGGTGATATTATCTCAGTGAAACCACCGTTTCTAGTCAATCTTCAAGCTGTCACAATCGTGGAATAGAATATCACGATAATCGCCGATAAAATCTATCTAAAAGTTGCTACTTAGATAAAGTTTTGCTTCCTAAGACGACTGTTTAAACTTCACTTTTTCAGTTTTGCATTTCTTATTTCTATAGAAATGAATCACAAGATTTCAATTGTTTGAGATGAGTTCATTTTTATCCAAACACTGTATTACCAGACTATTGTATTGTTTTCTGTCTTGTGAAGGCAGGATTTTAAATGAAGTTTTTAAAATTTTTTATGCTGTATCCCTGTTCATTAGATCCAGAGGAATGATGTAACCTTTGTACTCACCACTGCAATACCGAGTTGGTAGAAATCCACTCCATGAAGATAAATGCCACAGAATTGCAAACACCTTCGGGTTGTTACTATTAATACTCGTTGTACAAGAAGGTAGCTACCATGCTTCATTGGGCCAGTGGATAACGCTTTGGCACTTAGAGCGATGGGTACGGGGTTTGAGATGCATCTACATTCAGCTGACGAGCAAGTCCCATATGGGGCGAAACGCGCTTCCTAGATTCCACTGCTAGCCACAACTAAGTTAATCATAAACTTTGCGTTGTGTTTATTCATTTCAGAAAAGCGTGTAATGTTATGACTAGCAGTGTCTATAGGAATTTAAACACTTAAGTTTTATAATATCATAGAATATCTGTACAACAGCATCTAGAATAACTTACTTCGTGACTCCAAGGTATATCGGTTCCGTGCATCGGCTCTTGTTTACTCCTACTTCTTTTTTTATCCACTTCCCTCTTAGCAAACCTTATATACTGACGAAAAAAAACAGATAGAAAGCTTTTAATCTCTGTAGATACTACTAAAATGATTTCATATATCTGTGAAACGTGGTACTTAATCTTCGCTAATTAGGAATAACTTGGTGATTGGGTTTCAGAATATCAGTCTGTACTTCTAGACTTGGTCCAGTGGAAACGATGTACTCCTATTTGGCAGGTGAAAACTACTAAATGAACAATATAGGGTTAGGCTTTTATTATTATTCCAGTTCATATGAGGTTTAGTCATTTTATGTGCTGCGCTTGCTTTAACAATAGTGATTTACTGCAGGAGTGACTTCATATCCCTGGGACTTTTTTTCTGAAGACATTTTTGCAACACAGGCACACATACATTTCTTTTCCTTGACAGATTTAAACAAAACAAAAACAACAGTTTTAGCAGAATGATCCATTTTGTTTCGCAGTATCTCATCAGCCGCTTACAACCCAAAACAGTGTTTTAACATCAAGTTATGCAAAATGCTTAAATACCTGAATCAATCTGATAGAAAACTATCGACTTGAAATAAGGAAGAAAACGGTGTTGAATGTATAGTTTCGGCTTTTTTTCATATACGTAGCTAATGCTTAAGCTATGCATAAGTGGTGGAAACATAAATCTTCATAGTTGTTCAATTCAGCCCTATAAATTGCCTTAGAAGATGAATCTCAAGGAGTTGAATGACCGAACTCCATTAGGTGTTCATAGTTAAATGAAGCTGTTTGTCTTCGTTCGCTTTTGGTTAACCAAATCATATATTGTTCTGCAACGCGTTTCCGACAGAAGAAGAAGAAACACAAATTGAGTGAATAAATATACCGAACTAATAGTAAGTTTTCACTATGTAGAAGGACTAGACGAATATTCTAGAGCGAGAATTGGATAAATGGGTGAGACAAACATATTCGACATAGTGAGAAAGATTACATAAAATATGTGTAGGAAAAGGTCATAAGACTTATATCAGCTAGAATCTAGATAATTAGGTCAAGGGTATGAAATGAAAACTAACAAAAAAAGAGCAACATGCATTGTTCAACGATATGTAAAACGAGTAATGATTGTCAACCAAAAACTTTGCCATGTTTGTTGGATGGAGGCAATCAGCAGAAAGCCCTAGACCTAGGTTTCGTGCTTGTTGGCACTTGTCAGCAAGGCCTATCTGGAATCTCGACTAAACTGATGTCCCGCTTGAGATTCGAACCCACGCCTATCGACAGAATTCTATCAGCACATGATGTTGGTTACCCTCCAGCGACCAATCAGTGCATCTAATTCAGTCCTGCAGGAGATCAGTCGCGCCCTAAATAGCTCAGCGGTAACGTCGCTGACTACAACACTGGGTGACGCGGGTCCAAATCTCAGGCGAGACATCAGTTTAGTCGAGATTGCAGATACGCCTTGCTGATGAGTGCCAACAAGCACGAAACCTAGGTTGAGGGCTTCCATCCAGCTAACACCTTTCAAAGTGCATCGCAATGTTGAGCTGCCTAGCCTTATGGACACATTGCAAAATAGTCGATAAAATTCGATCAGCACTTAGAACTAGACAACACGATATTGGTTACCTTTCAGTGACCAGTCAGTGTAATAAGTCTTTGCTATGCTAAGCCTAGACTGATAACGGTTTCTTTCTGAACACGCAGGTTCAGTTTAAATCATTTAGTGGCTAACGCTTCAACAAAACGCAATAAATTCGAATTCACCTGTTTATTAATTATTTAAATGGTTTCTGAATGTCGACTTCATGTCCACTAACAATAAGGTGACAAGCGATAGCGCTGTTGAAGACTTTTCCATCTCCCACTCTCAAATTCCTTTGAATATGCTTAGACATGCGATCATTGCTGATCCATACACTCTGGTTTTTGATTTCAGGTTGATATTCATCATAGGCTGACATCGGTTAGAAAAACATTGGGAATCTGGGAACTCTGGATAGCCGTTTCGTCCTATTGCGGAACTCCTCACGAGCGTGCACACATGACCCCACCAGGGACCGTTTTTTCCATTTTACACCCTTGAACTAACTGTCTGAATTCTACTCACATTGGCTTTCAGTTGACGGAAGTCTTATGAATTTCTTTCCCGCATTCTGTGCAACCTTTTTCAATATTTTGAATACATTTGTCTCTCCCTCATGTCCAACTTTCACTTAAGAATATTTGTGTAATCCTTCAGTATATTGGTAGACTTACTATTATAAGTGAAGTGACTAATTGAATAGTGCGAAATACGACAATGCAACTAACGCATGGGACACTTGAACTGCATAAGAATACCGACTGTTCTCCGGCAGACCTCATACTTCAGTGGGCCGCGAAAATCAAAAGACAAAGACCGACCTATGACTGTCAGGAAAACACTTTATTTGACAAAAAAACAGTTTTCCCTAGCACGTAAAGTCAGAAGTTAGATATTTTAGTTGTATTGTGTTCTCTGAGCTGGGTTGTTTAATCGTCAAGCTTTCATGATCCGTCTAGACAACATCATCAACATTAACTTCAGTATGAAATGAGCTGTCAATATCTCTCCATGATTGATTTAGTAGCTTGCCTTAACGAAGCGGTCTGTGATTGGTTGTTTTCTTTGATTGTTGTGTCATTGACTGTATAGACTTTCCTGTTGGCTATCCCTCTGACCTTTCTGTCGTTTATCATGTTTCTTATTGGTTGATAGATTGGGTCTATGTCTATACATCTACTAATTGCTGACTGATCTGAATGCCAGGCTTCTAGGAATTTTATATTTTTGGTGTTTTCCCTGTCCAGCACATACACATCCATCGAACCTCAATTGGCCAAGAAAACTATGTCCCTTCAGCTCAATGAAGACACAAGCCTTGCAGAACGCATAAAACGTAAATGTTCAAGTCTGATGGAACTCATCGACCTTTGTATGACAACGTACTTCCAATTCAACGGCAAGATATACAAACAGATGAAAGGAACTCGAATGGGATCACCGATATCCGGATTAATTGCAGAAGCAGTGATGCAGAGACTAGAGGCCATCATCCTACCTGTGATCAAACCAAAATTCTGGATTTGCTATGTGGACGACACGTTTGTCATCATTAAAAAGATGAGATAGAAATTTGATCAACAACGTTTTCAGTGACATCAAATTCACAATGGAGGAGTCAAACAACCAACTACCATTCCTGGATGTTCTGGTCAATAGAACAAATACGGGGAAGCTGGAAACTCGAGTGTACAGGAAGCCAACACAGACTGACGAAGTCCTCAACTACGGTAGCAACAATCCAACAACACACAAATCATTTGCGTGCAGACTCTATTCAGAAGAGCGAGAACACACTGCAGTACAACAACTTCACGGAGAAACGAAGAAAATTACTTAATGTCTATCCTAAAGAAGAACGGCTACCCACGAAACTTTATCAGATGCTTATCCCGTACATCATCAACTACAAAGTTACCTGCTATACATAAAGAATATATCAAAAATCACGACAAGATTACTGAAACCACATGGTGGAATTTGTGTGGCTCATAAACGAACAAATTCCCTGCAAACACTTATGCAGACCAAAGGATGCGACAACCAGAGAAGACAAACCGAATATCATTTGCAAAATCAACTGCAATAACTGTCGTCAACACTACATTGGACAAAGTGGTCGCCCTCTTCGCCTTCGTCTACATGAACACCAA